GAATACAGCCTAGGCAGCCTAGGACATGCATATCAACAGTCTGGGTATGTCACTCCCACGCCGAGTCGCTTCGGTCTCAAAGTCACTTCCTCTCCATTTCGGTCCACCTTCACCTCAGAACCCGCCACTTGGGTGTTGGCCAAATCAACTTGTTCCACTGACTTTCCAACGCCCCAAATCGATTTCGGGTTTGATCAGCTTTGATCCTCCACAGCATCTCACTCAAACACCTCTCTCAACCCACATTTTTTCATGTGTTGCTGAGCAGGTCCCACCCACTCATGACCTCTCTCACACTCCCCTCCCATCCGTACGACGATCCGCCCCTCCCCATCCGAGCCATCCCTGCTCCCCGTCCCAACGGCGGCGTCGAAGCGCTTCGCGTCCCCGCTCGGGGTCGAGGAGCGGTCCAGTGTTTCTGCGTGGCGTCCCAGGTGGAGGACAAACACGTGGAACGACCCCAGAAGTTCACCTCCATCACCCGTGCCTCGGGTCGCGGCTAGCGCTGGTCGCGTGGTGTGGCGAAACGGAGGTCACCACGGGTCACCGGAGAGGACAGCACATCGGCGAAGAACGAGGAGGACTAAGACTAAGAGTTGATTCCACTGTTGATTCCCTCCCAAACTCACATGATCTCACATGGAAGTGGACATCTCCCTTCGGGCTTCATGGTCTTCCCGAGCGAAAGGGGCCATGGCATCCACGTTGGCCCATGTTGGTTCGAAGGAGTGTAGTAAAGTATATGAGACACCATAGAAAAAGACAGGGGAAAGGACAGGTTGGTAAACATGAAAAAACATGGCCTTCTTTTTTGCTTTGTCGGAGTCTGAGGACTCCGTGTCTTCGTTTGTGACAGTGACTCTTAGTTTGCAGAAGAAGTTGCATAAATGTCCAACCAATCCGCCATCTGGTCTTTGTGTGGCCACAAAGGCCAGTGGTCAGGCATTGGCAGGTGTGGCAGGTGATTGGCAAAAAACTGGATCGTGCAAGTGAAGGCAGTCATAGCCTCAGCCGTGACCAAACGGTGCGAGGCTACCGATGGCTTGGGGAACCGATAGCTTTGGAATGTAGCCAGCTCCGGCTCTCCGCACCACATAAAGCCACACCCAGCAAATCTCAGCACCAAGTGATGGAAGCGAAAACCAACAAGCCTTGATTGAACTTCAGCAGCAAGGTGCCAAGATGTGCCAAGGGACATCAAAACGCCCACCCATCCTCATCCCCCAAAACTCCCCTGGTTTCCGCATGCTTCGTTGAGACACACACACAACCAGACTGCAAGGGGCGATTCCGCCAGCTGTCGCCGGGCTGAGGGTTGCTGTCCAGCACGATGTTCGGCACGTTGAGGCGTTGCAAGCGCGCCGCCAGGGCTAAGCCACACTGGCTGCCACCCACTATGACCACCTGAGTGGGTGGCAAATAGATTGAGGAGCATGGGGGAGGGGGGGCTAGGAGTGAAGGTGAAGCGGATATGGGGGTCATTGATCTAAATGAATCGCTCCAAGCCACAAACGGTTGCTCTTTGGCTCCCAGTGCCGCCTTCGCCTCTTCCGCTTGCCTCGCCCAAGCTGAGCACTATGTGTTGCTTGAATCATTCTGACCATTCCGACCTTAGGCATGGTTGTATAATTAACATATCATGAGAAGTGCAAGAATACTGGTAATTTAGACATACATCTTTTAGGCCTCACCGCATGCTGCCTAGCAGAAGGCCACTCACGTGATGACATGCTCATATCAAGCTTTTCTTTTGCCTGCCAAAAAGGGAGTGTCCACTTTGTTAATAACCTTACGACTTGATAACTTGCAATGCTTCTGCTAAACCCGAGGCCGGCCTGCGCAGAACTGAACCCGAACTTGTGACATGTCTTTATTGAAAACCTTCAGTGTCTTGCCAAACCACGATAACCATGACGAGAACAGCAGCTAGGTAACGCCCTTACCATCACTCCAGCCAAACAATCAGTGATTAGTCTATACACCAAAGCCGCCTACTTAGCCTGCTTGGGCCACCTCCTAGCTTCCTGCTACTACTTACTTGCTACCTCTTGCTACATCTTGCTACTAAGCCTAATGACCTAATGGCAATGGCCTCCAACCTAGAAGCGATGGCCTCCAACCTACGTCGTCTACCCCCAGACCCCGTTCCTCCTCCCTCTGCTCAGTTCCGCCTGCTGATGGGCACGCGGTTCCGCAGGGAGCCGTAGGGCCGACCCTCGGAGCGCTTGGGCCCACAGGGCTCGGGGTAGCCCTTCCTCGGCCGAGTTCGAGTTCGGCTCGGCCGTGGGCTCCACCATGGTGAGAGATCTTGAACCAGAAGTTGTTGTTTTTTTCTGCATGGCAGATGAAGGAGAGGAATGGATGTTGGATGAGGTTGGTGTCTTTACGGGGGGGTTCAGACTTTGGGGCCGGTTGAACCGATTCAGAATTATGAGGCTCCCTTTCTGACCATTTAAACGCTCTTGTGCTGGATTTCTGCAGATTTCCAACAGGTCTTCTCACGACTTCTCAGGTAATCTCAAACATCCCAATCAGCTCTGCTTGGCTTCAGCTCGTCTCCGATCGTGGTCAAAGTCCAGCAGGTGCCGTCTTCGTTCCTCAGGGCTTTCGCGGGGTAAACATCAAGTTTGGTTGGCCGCGCCTCTCCGGCAATCTGGTGTCCTCGGCACCCCCAATGTCCAGTGCATCAAATGCTAACTGGACAGTTTTGGATAGCCCCCCAGCCCCAATCCACCATCGAAATCAGCAATCGGGGTGCACGACATCATTGAAACATCACAAGTCCACACCAAACAAGATCATTTTGCAATTTCCCTAATTACAAAGAAACCACGGCTTAAGGACTCCAATAAAGCATCAACGTTCTCCCCCCTTTCCCCTCTTTCCATTGGTCTCCCCTTCACTCGTACCAGAGAGGCGCCTTCACCTCTTCACCAGGATGGGTCCACGTCTCTCTGCGCCACTCCACCGCGCCATTCCGGGTCCAAGCGACAGCCGGACGTGGCCCACGCAATTCAACTGCTCCGTCTCGAAGGTGAGCCACGCTTCGATTCGGCCATCAGAGTCCTCCTGAGGAACTCGCTGGTGAACCAGAGGGAGGAGCTCCACCGAGGAGCTGTGGAGTTGCCCAAAACGATGGTCAAAGACCGAAAGGCTATACTTCGTAGGGGGCATTAGTATAGAGACCCAGAACTATTGCATTCCAACAATGATCCAAAGGTTTTTTCACCCACCCCGCGGCACCCGCCGGCACGTGCTGCGCCTTCGGCTCTCCCTTCAGCGCCCAGTTCTGCGCTCGGGGCGCGCTGCCCCGGACCATGTCACCTCGACCGGGTCCAGCGGAGTGGCCGGGCAGGGCAGTGAACGAGGGCGAAGGGCAGGTGACACACCCTGAAACAATCATGGAAGTGGAACTCATGTTCCTTTACAAGGGGGTCCTGGTCAGCTTTCATTATTGGAGGGAGGGTATGTATAGCTGAAGCTGTCCTGAGAAACATATGGTTCAGTGGAGGAAGCAAAGCCTGTAGAAGATGATCTTCCAGAAGACTCCGCTTCTGTTCAAGGTCTGGTCTGTAAGCGCTGAGACGTGGTTGATGGATGCTGGTGATTCTCTGGAACTTACAGATCTTGAGAAGCTCTTTTCGCTGCCCTCAGATTGTGAAGGATCTCTCTGATCAACATGTTGGCTAAACATCGTGTTTGCTCAGAATGCCCAGCAAGACTCCTCCCCTCTTCCCTCACCGACACCACCAGGATCCGAAAGCCCCATGTCCCACCACTGTCAACCAAACCGACGATCTGCCCCAAACAGAACCACACACCTCAATCTACAAACAATTGCATCAACACTTGCTACACTTCCCAGCTCTGCTCCCTTCTTACAAACTGCATAGTTCTTCAACCCAGCCCCCGCTTGGCGGGCGAACGTTCCACCGAAAACCGACGAAAACAACGACCGACCGACCGAGTCTGCTGCGGCAGCTGCCGAGCGGCGAATGGCCTCGTGGCCTTCCATGGTTTTGATGTTCCACGTGAAGGCGACGATGTCGCGCCAGTAGCACTCCGCCCCAAAGACTTGCACCACCTCGTATCGCCGATACGAGTCGAAGGAGTCGACTCGTTCCCACCAACTAAATGGCATTATAAACATATATTATTCTGGCTGAAACCTTTTAAATTGTATAGTTATTACGAAATACTACGAACCATAATTATACCAGCCAAAAATGAAAAGACGGGAACAATCGAAGATCATCGAAGTAAATTGCTGCACACACTTCTCCACGGACCTCTTCTTCTCCGCCCTCCAGCGCATGAGCAAAGCGCTCCAGCCAGGATGACACCAGCGCCGCCATGGATCGACGGAGGGCGGGGCGCGACGGGATCGGTGGATCGGGAGGGGCTGCGGAAGGGAAGGGAAGGTAGCTAGGGACGGCGCCCCCCTCCTCATCCTCATCCTCATCCTCATTTTTGCTGGTCAGGAGGACCTGTTTCTTGTTCGGACGGAGGATGAGGATGGTGAGTTTTTCATCTTTTTTCTCCGCCGCGAGTGGTTGTTTCCGCGGGAAGGATGGAGGACACGAAGGTTGTGGCCAGGTGGGCCCGACGAAGAAAAAAACAGTGGAGTCGAAAACGAAGGGTTGTCAGTCTCCCCTGGCAAAGTGTCACCGACCAAAGGTTCAAAAGCCAGAGACTCATGCTTGGAGATGATACCCAACAAAAAATGATCCGACTCTGAAAGCTTTCGGCAGGTCTTTGCGGAGGTCAATGAGAGGTATCCGATTGAGTTCTTAGAGTTTGCCTCCCTATCAGTTGAGGAACTTGACCTCGCATGGTTTCTTGGGGAAGCAAAGTGACTCTGAATGGCTACAGAACACTATGATCAGGTGTATCGTGCCATATTATTCCATTTCTACTGGAACCAAACCGATCAACATCCAAGTTGGAATGCTTCGGATCAGCTTACGACCCTCACCCCCGCGATCCCGCTCCCGCGGTGCCTGCATGATCTCGGAGTCCATGGGGATCGGCGTGCCTAACCTGGAGACGTCGTGGGCACCGCGGTGTGACCCAAGGGAAGGGAGGACGAAGGACAGTCGACGAGTCGATGTCCTTCGTCCGGAAGAGGAGCGGTTTGGGCAGCTGAGGTGTGTTGGGGAGTCTCGACGTACAGAGTGACGTCGACGTACAGGATCAAGTGACCTCTTGCAGGACTTGGGAATCTCGAGTTCGGTCAGGAAGGTCATGTTATGTGCGACGTTCTTCCATTTGGTTGCGACGTGCAAAATGAAATTCGAAGGATCCTTCTTCAGGGATCGACCTAGAAGTCCAGTTCTTGTTGACAACCAGAAGCCCTGGTCACCTACATGTCTATATAAACATGTCTAAACATGTCTAAACAGTTGAACCTGACCACCAAGCATTTTGAGAAAAGTAATGCCTTCCATTCCTGCGTCTACTAGTATGAATCAGTAAGGCCTGCGGCAGCAGTTGCTTTCCTTTGCCGGGGGGCATCCAATATATCTGCCCTACAGTGAAACACAAGCCAAAAGCCTTCAAGACGATATATCAAAGCCTTGATGCGGCCTGCTCAAAAAAAGGAATTGGTAGGGAAACGGGTTGCCAAGTGCGACCTCTACTTAGGCCATGGAAAATGGAAGCCCCGACCTTCAACACTGCTAGTACCACAGACGGAAACGCCGAAGCCGCTTCTGATCGCCGCCAGTTCGGTGCCTCGTTGAGATCAAGGCCAGCAAAAAAACCACGATGCGGCCCACCAGCCAACCGAAGAACAAGCCCAGCTTGCCTCAGACCGTCCAAACACATCCTGAAAGGGCCCAGTTGTTACGCAGATAGTACAAGCCAAGACAAGCCAGTGGCATAAAACATCGATGAGGTTGGACAAACGTCCGGTAGGGGCGGATGATGGCTCACTCTATTCTATGACCGGAACATGAGGGAAAGGAACGTGAGGCAGTTGAACCCGGGAAGAGTTGCGCTGGTGCCATGTCAGAAAAGGTTGGTAGCTTTGGCTGACAAAACTCGTGACACACAAATGGGACAACACTCTTCTCCTTTGAATTGAAGATGCTGCAGTAGATATATAGAACTATTATGTGATTGTATGTGATTGTATACTTTATTTGTCCACGCCTCATCCCTTTCACTATTCCTTGATCTTCTCTCAATTTGCAAACCACAAATGTCCACTGGCCACATCATCCTTGAATCCTCTCCCACCGCACCACGCATCACCACGCACACTCCGCGTTATTTTTTTTCCCACACGAGCACCGTGGTGTCCTCGTGCGATTCCGCTTCTCCGTCGGAGCCGCGCGTCTCCACCGCACAGCGGTGCAGCGTGAGGCTGGTGCCTTCGGCCTGCTGAAGCCGTCGGATGAAGGACTCCTTAGCATCGGGGCATCTCAGTGGCTGAGTTCCTCACACTCATCCAAGTCATCTGACATATTCTGACATCAACCACCACATTGCCAACAATTGCAAACTTCTGCCCAGCTATCAAGCAATTGGAGGAAACCCAGCTCTGCTTCTCTAAATAACTCGTTCAAAAACCAGTCTTTCCATCCGCCGGGCCAGGGCACATTGGACGGTCGGTCTGCCGCACCATAGATGAAGACCCAGCCACGGTGGATTGCTTCCTGACACGGTCGTGATGGGTTCCGGTCAAGGTTCCAGGCCAAAGCAGGCATCACGCTTGCCCACAAGTGCTTGTGGGGGCCCTTGCATGATGCACCCATGGTATATGGTTTATATACAGTATAGTAGTGTACACTACCACCTTTTTGTGACGATTTGACTCTCTTGGCCCCCCACAAATTCCCAAAACACCCATTGCCTCAAAAAAACACCTTGGTCTGCACCACCCTGGTGCCCTCGTGTCCGGCACCTCGACAGCCTCCAGGAGCACGTCCACAGCGTCGTCCGCCCAAAGCAGCTCCGCGCCCAGCAGCAGCCGAGGCTCGGTCGACTCGAGACGATCGAGGGCCTGGGGGGCGAGTCGTTTCAAGGGCATCTTCGGTAGAGATCTTCGATCGATCGAAGGAATTGAACGGTCTTTTTTCGTGAATCACTTAGCTAACGCGTGACTTACATCGCCGAAAAAACCGTGAGTCTCTCACGCGTCCGTCGTTCCGTATCTCCCGCGCCTCCGTCAGCCCATCGTCCCAATCCAGGCGTCGAGCCTCCAGCTGAGCACCACTGCGCTCGGACCGCTCCCTGGAGGAGGCGGACGGTGGCATGGCACGGCGGACGGTGGCACGGGTGGTCCGCTGGGATGCGAAGGACCCCAAAACGAATGGCCTTAAACACTTGTGGACATACTTGGGGTCTGTCTATCCTGGGCCCAGTGGATGATGATGGGGAGTTGCAGGCCTTTGCCCAAAAATAGTGATGATTGTTGACTGACTGTTACAGGCAACTGGACAAACCCAAGACATACTCATGGAGCTTGCCAAATCCTTGTTCAGTGGGAATCAGTTCAATCTTTTCGAAACTCATCTCGACAAGTCTTCCCCACTGGCTTTTAATCCGATAAACAACAACTTCAACATCATACAGTGCTTCGAACCAAAAAGTAGCACGACCTTGAATCTCAAAGCCCTCTCTGGCCATGCCATGTCTGTGCCAAGAAATAAAAAAGGGCTCCACAATGGTCCTCGCGCCTGGTCATGGCAATGCTTTGACGTAGAGCCTCTTCAATCTCCTCCTCCAAATCCGTGACCTGGCGTTTGCTCAATGGGGGCATTCAGGTCATACAAATTGCCCGTGATGCACGGCTCGATATGTTTTTCGTTGTTTGTCTTACATGTAAGTAGTTTTCGTTGTATTCAGGTGACATCTCACAGCATTTGGGTCTCGTATGGCTTTGTCAAGACTAATTGCCCACCCCGCTGCAGCTTTGTTTTGATCCCTGCCGCTTTCTTTTGATCCGCTGCGGTCAACGGCTGGATGCAGGCAGGGGACCTTGTGGTGTGCACAACCGTTCTGAAATAAAATCTGAAACACTTCAGGGCCATGTATGGTGGCATCATCCTCCAAGTCTCTGAGGGTCTGATTCCCAAGGGCTGTTTTGACTGAACTGAAGCTGTTGCCAATTGCAAATCAACACTTTCTCCTGCCCATGGCCCTTTTTCAAGGCGTTTCTGTGAAGATTGTGCTTCTAGTTTGTCATGTGTCATAGAATTCACTGGATTCCATTTCCAACCATTGCATAAATTAGTCGATTAGTCATGCAGTTAGTATCCAAACCGGATTGAGAGACTATGTTATTTTATAGAAGGTTAACCAATCCATTGGCATTGGAACAGCCATGCCATCTTCCGACGTTGGGAATGCCCAGAAGCGATTGAAGTTCATCAGATGCTTGGCCACTTCAAGTCCAGAGCAGATAGCTTCTTCTTTGCCAACCCCTAGTGCAAAGAGCAGGCCCTCATCCAATGCAATCCCAGCTGAATCTTCCAAGCGGAAGAAGTTCATATCGATTTTGGGAGGTGAGGGACAGATAGTACCTTCTGATCCTTCTCAGAAGGATCCAGATCTTGAACAGGACCAATCAAAGAGGCGAGTTGCAGTGGATTTCACTATGGAGGGCTTGCTCGATTTCAAGAATACATGTCAGGCAGTTTCGATGGGCAGACCCGCCGACGAATCTAGAGGCAAGTTGAGGAAACGCCCAAACTACAATGGCGCCATGAGAAAACACCTTGCGAAGCTACAAGACCGTGTTCCGTAACTAGACTTGGCCAAGGATGCACCTTTTGTTCAACTTGTTGTGGCTTTCTGTCAGGTTCCTGGCACCATCTGCCCTGTAGTGCTTCCTCATGCAGCCAAGGTTTGGTCAACATGGCTCTGACAGTGCAAGGTTGGAGTACTTGAGCACCCGAGAACCATGCCGGTGCCACAGGCGAAGTTGTTTCCGAAAGCTGAAAGCCATATGGAATATGCTTCTCCAATTTTTGAGATTGTTTTGGTCCATGGCCAAGCATGTTCAAGACGAGTACATTAGGAGCGTGATAGGCAGCCACACAGGGACCCGCAAAAGCTGGCACTTGCTCGGCCAACTCTTTGGACCGAAGTGTTGCATCGCAATCTTGGGCATTGGGAATGCCAGAGTGGGGAGAGTTCTGCAGGGCAAATTTGATCGTCGATTTGGTGTTTGGGGAGCAGCTTGACAAGACGGATGTTGAAGTGTTGTTTGTTTGCTTGCTTGTTGCTGGGCTAAAGCACATTGTCATCCTTGGAAGATCTTGGAAGTCTGATGCCTTTAGGCATCAAAGAGGAGATCACCAGTAAAAACACGGCTCATCAACCAGTTCCTCCTGTCCGTCTACATGAAGAGCGCAGGAATGTTGCCAGATAAGTACCTTGCAAATCAATTGTCAACAAACCTTGTGATGTCTGACTCCTGAATCCATTGCAACCTTTTTGTAAAAGGGTTCAAACTTGTGCGGTGGTTTGACAGGGTTGTTGATTTGACTCACTGAGGTTTAAAAGATCTGGACGCCCGAGGAAGATGCACGCAGAAAGGCTCACCGTCGTGCTTGAGGCATCTGCTTGTTTGCCTGAGGATGAATGCTTCTCGGACAGGTTGATTGAATTGATCAAGGACTGAAAACTACTGAATGTTTGGGGGTTGGTCGAAGCTGCTCGGTCCCAAGGTAGCTCAGATTCTTCTGGACGGGATGATGACACAGCTTTGGTTGTCAAAGCAGAGAGTCTTGAGAGCGATGAAGAATTACGGATGCACCTGCTGGGTGTCAATTCATTCTACACTGAGCCACTCGCCATGAAAAATCAGTTGGCTGTGTTGACTGTGTCATGAATGATGAAAGCATTGTTGCTTTGACTTGCCTGTTCTTTCGTAGAAACCCAGGGCGATCGAAACTGGATTCTCCAAGACTGTATCATCATTACCATGTCGCTTTCTCCCACCAGGGAACGTAAAAATGCTGTTTCAGCAGTGGGGCCGAGAGGGGGTGTCGTGCCTCAATTGCACAATGTTGCAGCATGCCACAGCAAACGCACCACATGTCCAGAAGTTGCCTATTTGATAAATGCATGTTCACAGCCACCTTGCCAAGGTATGCTCACTTCTGGAGAACATATGACACCATTTGGCGGCCAATACTCAAGTTCTTATCACCAAGCACGCACGGGAGTTGTGACGAGTGCTGCGACTTCAAAGAGCAGTTCCGGTGCACCCCAGCACTCTGACTCAATAGTTTTCATTTCACAATCTTGCCCTGTGTTGAATCGTTTTGCACTGTGTGCAGTTAGTATCACCTTGACGCTTATGTCACTCAGGCAAAGGATATGCAAAGGCGATTCGATATTTCAAAGGCATACAAAAAACATGTGGACCAGGTAGGGGAAGACAGAAGCTTGGAGGAGTTCCTCCAGGCGATTTCTGATTGAGAATATGGAAATGCAAGGGTTGAGATGCAGTCATGTTCCCTGTGTAGTATTCCTGCCAGTGGGACACCTGGAAGGCCCAAGACCCCCTGAGCCACATCGGAGATGCACTTTGCGTCCATGTGGAGCCTAGACGGCATTTCAGGTTTAGTTCAGGACTCATGGATTTTGTCAAATAAGTTTGCCAGCCCAGACATTGTGAATTTGTTGAGAGTTGAGGACGGGATGGACCAGGCAAAATGGTCGATTCCCCGGAACCGGCATTTGGTGCAGACAAAGGCAGAGATGCCTTTGCAGAAGCCCAAATTCAAGATTCAGGGGACCTGGACTTTGGGATGTGAATTAATGAAGGGATGACAGCGATGAAGTGTTTGT